AATCAATGTCCTCCTCTCTCATCGATGTTTCTGTCTCCCTCTCCCTCTCCCTTCCTCTCTCAAATGAGTCAATCAAAAAAAGAAAAAAAGAAAGTGCTACTGGAAGTGGGTTACCAATAGTATTGTTATCCTTTAGTGCTCCGATGTTGAACTTGCCCAAATTATAGAACTGTGAATGACAAGTAAGATTCCAACATGGGTACTAAAGAGTGAGTGACCTCAACCAGTGCTTCTTGGACTGTGATAGAGAACTAGTTGGCTTTATTTTAAAACTATTTTCAATCTAATGGTTTCGTAAAATAGTAAAAATAGGATAAAGATTTTTGAAAAGATGCATATAAAATGTAAGACTGAATTTGATATTATTAGTTTGAACAGGCATAAATGTACTGTCAAATTGCCAGAAAGCTTTCTGAGTGTTTACTTTTCATTTCTATACTTAACCTGGCTGTAGATTACAACCAGCAGAAGTCTGTGGACCACACTTTGAGCTACTGCTTCAAACCTTTATTAAGTGTCCGGAGAGCAATTTTTTTTTTCATACTTCAAATTAAGGCTTAGGTGATGTCCTAGCCTCTGGAAAAAATCCTGAAAGTTCTTAGTAAATGTATATGATTAGTGAAGCAATGAAGGACACAAATTGGGTGTCCTGAAGGGAAGGCTCAGTATTTCTGGAAGAGATAGTTTGGGTTGAGGGTGGAAGAGAAATTGAATGTTCATAACCATGGCAAAACAACACTCCATAGTTTTGGAATTTAAGCCATGTAAATTTGAACATGGTAAGAAGGAAGAATATAAACTTTAGTCAGATTAAAAAAAAAAAAAGATCCTAGATTTGGGAACTATCTAGCTTTTTTACAATTTAGTTTTTATTTTTTTAATTTATGTTTATTGGTGAAAGTATTACAGCTGTCCCCGGGGAACTATGTAGGTTTATATTAGCATTGTCCCACAAGGTTTATATTATGCCTAATGACGTGTGTTGATTTTTGCAGAATGTAAAAAGCAACTTGAGATTCTTTGCAACTAATTGTTAAACTTGTCCTACCCTTGTTCAACATTTTCATCCCCTTCAACTGTCTTCTGTTGCTATAATAGCTACTGAACCCCAAGACCACTAAATTATAACGCTGTACATTAAAAAAAAAAAGTTTTTATTGATTTCTAGAGAGGAAGGGAGAAGGAGAGAGAGAAACATAAATGAGAAACATCTATTGGCTGCCTCCTGCACACCTCCTACTGGGAATGGAGCCCAGAACCAGCGCATGTGCCCTGACCTGGGGAATCCAACTGGTGAACACTTGGTGCATGGGACAACACTCAGTCAACTGAGCCACACTTGCCGGGCATAATGCTGTACATTTTTTAAAATTTGAATCTCAAACTCAGCATATCCAAAACCAGGTTTAATATTTTGCATTTCAGCCCAGCCAGTGTGGCTCAGTGGATTGAGTGTCATCCCATGGACTGAGAGGTCCTGGTTCAATTCCTGTTCAGGGCACATGCCTGGGTTTCGGGTTCTATCTGATTGACGTTGATGTTGATCTCTCATCAATGTTTCTGTCTCTCTCCCTCTCTCTTTCGTTCTCTCTAAAACCAATAAAAACATATTTTAAAAAATGTTTGCATTTCGCCCTGGCCGGTTTGGCTCAGCGGTTAGAGCATTGGCCTGCGGTCTGGAGAGACCCGGGTTCGGTTCCCGCTAAGGGCATGTGCCTCGGTTGCAGTTTGTCCCCGGCCCTGGTTGGTTGTGCGGGTGGCAACCACTCGATGTGTCTCTTTCACGTCGATGTTTCTCTCTCTCTCTCTCCCTTCCACTCTATCTGTACAAAAAAATGGGAAAATGTCCTCGGGTGAGGATAAAAAAAAAAAAATGTTTGCATTTCAACTAGTCTTTTCTCTTTCCTTGTCATCTGTATTTATCACTTTGACTTGTCAGTTAATGGCTTCCATACTCACAAGATGAAAGTTACACTTTTAGCCTGACCTTTGAGGCTTTTTACAGTCACTACAGCCAACCATTTTAGTGCTGTCTGATTTCAGGAACCCTTTCTTTCAGTCTCATTGGTACCTTTCCATCTAGATGAATGCTGCACCATCTCAGGGCTTTACCATTTGAATTGTGTTATACAATGGTTTTTCAAGTCATATTCTCTTGAGTCAGAAATGTATTTGATTACTTTGAGAGTAGTTGAATAGCCATATCTGTTAAATTAGTATTTCTTGTTTTGTCTGGATAATTTTTAAACCTAGAAATATTGTAAAACATAAATATTTCAATGTAATTTCCAGTGAAATTTGCTTATGTGGGATACCACCAAACTGAGAGAATAGGTGAAGGGATGTTGTGGGACTTGGCAGTAAAGAATTTTGTTTTCAACTTGACTGTGAATTTAAAACTATTTTACTGTCTGCTCTATACAAAGCAACCATAAAAATGACAAGTTTGTAAAAATACATTGTTTAGTTTCCAAGATTATATGATCTTATTTCCTTTCCTTCTTTGGCAGTCTTACATAATTGAAAAATATCTGATTGAATCAATTTTATTTACTTATATTAAAACGTATGTTGTTTTGAAAGCTTCTTTTTTTTTTTATATGTTTTTATTGAGGTAGAGAAAAATTATTTGGCTGCCTCCTGCACGCCCCCTACTGGGGATGGAGCCTGCAACCTGGGCATGTGCAAATCGGCACCTCTCAGTCCATGGGAGGCCGTTCAATTCACTGAGCCACATCAGCCGGCTGATTGAACCAATTTTAGACATATACCATGAAAACACCTATTCTAGGGGTTTCAGGGAGAGTTTTCTGAAGTTGGTGATACAAGTTATCACATAGTGTCCCGCTCCCTGTACCTTTTTAATGGTGATCTTGTTTCAGTACCTCAATAGTTAATAGCCTTACAAAGAATTTTAAGAGGAGATAACAATTTTAAAATACTTAAATTTTATTGTCAGATTTGATTTATATTTAAAGTACTTTGAAAATTAAGACGAATAATGAAAAATTTGGAGATTTGTTATAGTTAATTGAGGTTTATGCTTAACTGAGGAGTGACCTGAAAGCATTTTTGTTATGATTCTTTTTTAGTTTAAGTTTAATTTTATTATTTTTTAATCCTCTCCTGAGGATATTTTTCCATTGATTTTCAGATAGAATGGGAGACAGGGAGAGAGAGGCACACACAGAGAGAGAAACATTGATGTGAGAGAGACACATGGATTGGTTGCCTCCCTCATGACCCCGACTAGGACTGGTGATCAAACCACAGTGGTGGTACGTGCTCTTGACTGGAATCGAACCTTCAACTCTTTGATCCATGGGCTGACGCTCTAACCGCTGAGCCAAACTGGCCAGGGCTGTTATGATTCTTTTAAAAATAAAATATTTCTTTGTTTGGATTTGGCTTGTAATTATAAATCATGTTTTGATCAAAGAATTTATACAATATGGGTATCATTCTGGACATCATTTCTTTTTTTTATTTTTGTTCAGACAGAGCGGAAGGGAGAGAGAGGAAGAGAGAGAGAAACATCGATGTGAAGGGACACATCGAGTGGTTGCCACCCGCACGACCAACCAGGGCCAGGGACAAACTGCAACCGAGGTACATGCCCTTAGCGGGAACCGAACCTGGGTCTCTCTGTACCGCAGGCCGACGCTCCAACCGCTGAGCCAAACCGGCCAGGGCTGGACATTATTTCTCATCGTATATGTTGTCATAGATTCAAAAGGTGTAAGAATTGTACTTTCACCGCAGAATGGACCACCCCCTTAGAATTAGCCTGAAAGTTTCAAATCACCTCCTACAGATAGATTTATGAGGCTCAGTTCTCTACATCTCACTATTACCCTGTCCCCCAAAGCCCACCAGCCTTGTCAGTCCCTAACTGTTTCTTATTTTCTCTGTTCATTAAGATTGTTTCTGTCTGGAGACCACTATTAGTTTTAAGCTAGTGGGGTAAGGAATGGCATTTGACAATTATCATCTGTGTGAAGACTTTAATTGACTGTGATGAGGAAATACTGGTAAAAACTATGGTGATTTTAATTAAGCCATTGACTAATCTGTAAACTTTAGGGCATTAACTACTCTGTGTATACATTTAAATGTATTTGGTTAAGGCCATGGCCATTGTGACTCAGTTGTTGGAGCGTTGTACCGTGCACTGAAGAATTATGGTTTTGATCTTCAGTTGGGGCATGTATGGGAGGCAATCTGTTGATATTTCTCACATTGATGTTTTTTGTTTGTTTGTTTTGTTTTTTTCTCTGTCTCTCCCTTCCTCTCTCTCTAGAATCAGTGAAGAACATATCCTCGGGTGAGGTTTAAAAAATTTTTTTTACCCGATTTAAGTAATCAAGCCAGTAAGTTCCTGGGTGTAGCACTGTGATCATTGGCATTACAGTTGTGAGCAAAATCAAGACATAGCCCTTGCTATGTGCACCTCTACACACACACCTTTTTTTGTTTTTTTGTATCAGTTTGAGGTGACTTTCCTTGGCTTTCTGTTGATACCAATTTATAGTAGGATGAAGTGCTACATGGAGCAATGTGGAGTACACTGTTATACCCGGGCTCATTTCTTTTCTGACATCAAATGACAGTATTAATTATGTCTAACATAGAAAAAGATTTAAGTACAAGCCAATGTCCAGCTTTTTCGCATAGGACCAATTGGAAATGATAAAAGTTGTAGAACTTTTACGTTACATATGTCATAACAGTGTGACAAGGCAAGGACCTTATTCATGTGTGGTATAGCTTGATCACTTTATGAAACTTTTTTTTGTTACTGTAATATAATTATACTCTCTACAATTTAGTTGTATTTCCCCCTTCCCTACTTGCATATATAGTACTTTTATGTTATGTTGAGAAAGGTAGCTGATTTCCCCAGCTTTGTTGCATTGTCTCTAACAGTCTTCCAGATATTAAAAAGTGTAAGTGGAATATAACTGTATAGTATTATTGTTGTTGTTTTTTTTTTTAATTTGAGAAATCCTTTTCTGTCAATGAAGATATATTACAATGGAGAGTCTGGAGCTTTTCTTAGAGGTTGGTTTGGGGTCTATTTTATCAAATCTGTTATTTCTTCTTTAAAAGATAATATTGGCACTATTGGTTCAAGTTATTTAGAGTATTGCTGTCTTAGATGTGTCAAGAAATTTTAAATAATGTTTTATTATTTTCTACTAGGAAACCACCCCTACTCCTAATCCCCCGCCTACAGAAGAAGAGAAAACAGAAACTAACCAGGAGGTTGCTAACCCAGAACATTATATTAAACATCCTTTACAGAACAGGTAAGCTTTCTGACACACGTTTTCTGATTTAGGCAACAAGGTAAATGGTGAACAGGATAGGTTGGAGGGAAAGGTTAGATGAGGCTAATTTTAGATATGTAATATTGAGGGTTCCACTTTCACTTGGATGACCCATGTCTAATAAGCATTTTTAGTATGAGTCTTGAGCTTAGAAAGGAGAGCTGGTTGAGGGATTGGTTTGAAATTCATCAGTAATTGGTGGTGGTAATTTATACCACGGTAGTAAATAATGTTCTTTTAAGAAGTGAACTTGCCCCAAAACACCAGTCAGACAGAATATATGCACCCTCATATACATAGCAGTGTTATTTACAATAACTAAGATCTGGAAACAGCCCAAGTGACCATCAGTAGGTGAGTGGAAACAAAAGCTTGGGGGTACCTGGAGACTATTATGCCAAGTAAAATAAGCCAATTAGAGAAAGACAAATAGCATGTGATCTCATCTATAAATAGAATCTAAAGAACAAAATAAACTGATGAACAAAATAGGTCCAGAGGTATGGATGCATGGAACAGAATAACATCTCAGGGGAGGGGACAGGAAGAGATTAACCGAAGAACATATATGCACATATGCATAACCCATGAACACAGAAATAGTATGGGGTGGGGTGAGTGGAGGGCGGCAAAAAGGGAGGAAGTCTGAGACATTTGTAATACTGTCAACATTAAAAAGACGAAGAAGGCCCTGGCTACTTTGGCTCAGTGGTTAGAGTGTTGGCCCACAGACCAAGGAGTCGTAGGTTCAATTCCAGTCAAGGGCACATACCTCATTCGTCCCTGGCCCTGATCTGGTTGTGCGAGGGGCAAGCAGTCGATGTACCATGTCGATGTTTCTCTCTGTCTCTTTCCCTCCCTTCCTCCCTCTCTGACAGTAAGTAGAAAAATAACCTCAGGTGAGGAATAAAATAAAATAAGTGAACTTGACTCAGGATAGAGGCATTGATATCAGCAAATAGGGGCTTTTTTTTTTTTTTTTTTTTTTTAATGGAGAATGCTGTGAGGGGCACAGACATAGAAACTGTAAATATCCATTCGATTGAACCATAAAAAGAGTCCTTGCTGCCCTGTCTGATTTGGCTCAGCGATTAGCGCGTCAGCCCGTGGACCAAAGGGTCGCAGATTCGATTCCAGTCAAGGGCAGACATACCTGGGTTGCGGTTCAGTCCCTGGCCCTGGTTGGGGTTGTGCAGGAGAAAACCAGATGGTGTGTGTCTCTCACATTGATGTTTCCCTCTCTCTCCCTCCTTCCCACTCTATCTGATAATCAATAGAAAAGTATCCTTGGGTGAGGATTTAAAAAAAAAAAAAAAGAGTCCAAGCTGCCCTGTCTGGTGTGGCTGAGTTGATTGGCCATTGTCTTATATACCACAAGGTTGACAGTTCAATTCCCAGTTAGGGCACATGCTGGGTTTTGGGCTCCATCCACAGTAGAGGGCATGCAGGAGGCAGCCAATTGATGTTTCACTGTCATATCAATGTTTCTTGCTCTCTTCCTCTCCATTCCTCTCTAAAAAATCAATAAAATCTCTTTAAAAAAAAGAAAAAAGAGCCCTTGCTAATGTAGGAGAAAGTAGTGGAGTGTAGATGATGGAAAAAGGTAGGAGTAGTTTGAAGAGTGAATAGAATATACAAAAATGTATAGAGCAAGAATAGGCAATTTGAAACTGGCTATGAAGGACAAAAGAGAGCTAGGGGATTTGGAGTCTGGAGGTGGTTTGTATTTAAGACAAGTTAGGGGAGATTAAGATGAGTTAAAGTTTTCATAGTTACAGTGTAGTAGTTGAGTAGTAGTTGATTGTATCGTTTTCCCAACACCACCCCACCTCTTCCCAGTATGTTTGTGTTTTTACTTAGTTGTCTTTCTGGTTTATATAATGAAAATTAACATGAGTTCCCTGAGAGTTGATAGTGGGAAGAAAATGGCAACATACAAACATTGTACGAACCTGGAGAAAAGAAAGTAAATTAGAATTGACCTCTGAATTTAAGTATTTCAGTTTGTTTGATATCCCCCACCTTTTTTTACTCTGTTTACTTCAAAGATCCTGTAAGTCTGTCTGTAACTTAATTTCATGTATCTAAAAAATAAATTTTTCCTTCATGGCTTGAATATTTTTTTTATTTTTTATTTATTTATTTATTTTTATCCTCACCTGAGGACATTTTTGCATTTATCTTCAGATAGAGTGAGAGGGAGAGAGGGAGGAAGAGAGAGGAAAAAACATCGATGTGAGAGAGACAAATCGACTGGTCGCCACCTGCACAACCCCAGTTGGGCCAGGGACAAACTGCAACCGAGTTACATGCCCTTAGCAGGAACTGAACCCGGATTCTCTGGTCCGTGGGCCGACACTCTAACACTGAGCCAAATTGGCCAGGGCCTGAAAATTTTTTAAATCATTTCCTCATTATGATAGACCTACTGAAATAATAGTCCAAACGTGTGTGTGTGTGTGTGTGTGTGTGTGTGTGTGTGTTTCATAGGAGACCTGTGGTTTAGCATATCTTTCAGTGAGGAATACACCCATTCTTTAGACAGTGGCAATTGTCAGCTAGTGAGTGAGTTATCAAAGGTCAGTGGTCCAAAAGGATAAAATCCTTCCTCAGGAAAGCATTGTACCAAAGGTATTAAGTGGACCAGTTGATTAGGTGGGAATTTCATATAGTCCAGCCTCACAGTAGCACCAAAACCTTTAAAATATTTTTTCATCTTTCAGCACTAGTTCTTTGTGCCTCCTAGCTCTATGTTCTTAGTGTTGCTTTTACCATGGTGAGAAGTTATCAAGGCATATATCCCTCACAGCTTGAATGAAATCTAAGAAGAGATTTTGAAAAGTGACCTCATTGGTAAACAAGTTGATTAAATCTTAAAATGAAGTCTGAGGATTTCAGTTTCTCTATAAATTATACTTGTGTAAAATTATAAATACCACTTGGAAAAATATTCTGAGATGCTCAATGGTTCAGATTTAGGTAGTTTTCTCATTACTTTTTACAAATGTTGCAGAATTTATTTTGCTTTTTAAAAAAACAATCTCTGATAATTGCAATGATTAGATCAGCAGTGTGCAAGTTAAGTATATATATAAGTTTTCTGCTTTTCTCAGATATCCTTTTCCCATTTTACTTTTCTCTCCTCCCTTGAGTAGTCAGTGTTAAATCTGGTTTATATTCTTCTAAAACTTTCCAGTGTGCACGAGTATACTTTTATGCAGGTGACCATACAGTTTTTAATTGTCTGTGCAGATTTTTTTTTTCTTTATTTTTATAATTTTTTTTTCTCCTCACCCGAGGATATTTTTTCATTTTTGTTCAGATAATGTGGGAGGGAGAGAGAGAAACATCGATGTGAAAGGGAAACATTGAGTGGTTGCCACCCACACAACCCAACCAGGACCGGGGACAAACTGCAACCGAGGTACGCGCCCTTAGCGGGAACCGAACCCGGGTCTCTCTAGACTGCAGGCCGACGCTCTAACCGCTGAGCCAAACAGGCCAGGGCTTTTTTTTCTTTATTGAATTAAGAGAGGAAGGGAGAGAGAGAGAAACATCGATGAGAGAGAACATCAATTAGCTGCCTCCTGCATGCCCCCCATTGATGATTGGGCCCACAACCTGGGCATGTACCCTGACTGGGAATCTTAACTGGTGACCTCTTGGTGCATTGGTCAATGCTCAACCGCTGAGCCACACTGGCCTGGCAGTGTATGTGAAGATTTTGCATTATTATTTTAAACTAATGCCATGTAGTAAATGAATATAAAGTCATGTATATTATCAGGTTTACATTAATGGGTGTATAGATTTTTTTCTATTTACAAATAGTGCTATAGTGTATACATTCTTACATATTTTTATGCACCTGTGTGAATATATTTTTAGAGTAAAATTTCAGATTTCCAAGGTTCAAGACTACTTTTTAACAAACTTTATAGATACCGCCAAAATTGTTCTCTTTTACCAGCTGAGACTTTTAACGGAGTTTCTGTTTTCTACATCCTTGGCAACCATCAATTTATAATTATTGCCAATCGGATTATCCTAGTTTGATTTGAGAAAACAATGTTTTACTGTTTTAAATTTGCATTTCTTTCATTGAAGTTTCAAAACAGTTTCATATTGTACTGCTCATTTGTGTTTTTAAACAGACTAGGCAGTCTATTTAGTTCTATTCTTCTTACTATATTAGAAAATATACCTGAGAAAATGTAAAATTATGTATCCATTTAAAATTCATTACATGTTAATTTTTTTGTGAAAAAAATATTATGCAAAATTAAATAAAGTAGAAAGAATAGCATTTTTTTTTTTTTAATCCTTACCCGAGGACATTTTTTCATTTATCTTCAGATAGAGTGGGAGGGAGAGAGGTAGGAAGAGAGAGAGAAATATTGATGTGAGAGAGACACATTTGACTGGTTTGACCCACACGACCCCAACCAGGGTGGGGACAAACTGCAACACAGGTATGTGCCCTTAGCGAGAACCGAACCTGGGACTCTGGTCTGCAGGCCAACGTTCTAACTGCTGAGTCAAACCAGCCAGGGCAAGAATAGCATTTTTGTAAATGTTTTCAAATCCTAACTTAGAAGTTAGCTAGATTTTCATAGCTGCTTCTGCATTCAGGCTGTGCAGATAAATTGTTTCAGAGAAAGTATTAAAAAATATGATCTCATACAGGTATGTGATTGGAAAAGGGAGGAGAATTTTTAATAGCTTTTTAAAGTAATTAAATGTTCTCCTTTGATACTAGTCTTCTTATAGGTTAGTTGCAATGTGGAATCTGAAACCATATCCAAGAATTTTTTATACTTTGTTAATTAAAGTCCATTGGTCTGTCTTGTATTTGGAATGGACTTTTTTTTTTTAATCCTCACCCAAGGACATTTTTCGATATTTTGTTCAGATAGAATGGGAGGGAGGGAAGGAGAGAGACAGAGAGAGAGACAGAGAGAGAGAAAGAAGCATCGACGTGAAAGGGACACATCGAGTGGTTGCCACCCGCACGACCCAACCAGGGCCGGGGATAAACTGCAACTGAGGTACGTGTCTTTAGTGGGAACCGAACCTGGGTCTCTCTGGACCGCAGGCTGACGCTCTAACTGCTGAGCCAAACTGGCCAGGGCTGAAATGGATTTTTAAAATCCATACATGATTTTGCAACACACTAGTCATTTGGAAAATACTGTTACTGTTTTTTGTTTGTTTGTTTGTTTTTATACATCCTTACCAGAAGATAGTTTTCTATTGATATTTATTTATTCATATATATTTATTTATTTATTTATTTATTTATTTATTTATTTATTTATTTATTTTACATTGAGTAGAAGGGAGGAAGGGAGGAGAGAGAGAAAGCAACATCAGTGTGAGAGAGACACATTGATTGGTTGCCTCCCGCACAACCCCATCCGGGGCCAAGGGTTGAACTTGCAGCCGAAGGTACATGCCTTTGTCAGAAAAATCAAACCGGTGACCAATGCTCTAACTGATGAGTTAAACCGGGCAGGCCTGGGAAACACTGGTTTTAATAAGTTACACAATCTTCTAAATATTGACACTTTTTATTATACAGTATCAAAGCAATAACATTTATTAAAATCGCCACTAAGTTTATCAGAAATGTCTTTACATTTTTAGTTAACTGTCAAGCTCACAGTGGGACACAAGATTTTCTAAATTCTCATAGTATCCTCATGATTCATCTCTATTGTAGCAAGTGTCAATTTCTTTCCTTTTTAAGGCTGATTAATATTGCATTGTGTGTTTTTGCCACATTTTGTTTATTATTCATATATCAGTAGACACTTGCGTTGCTTCTCTTTTTTGGCTATTGTAAATAATGCTGTATTGAACATGGATGTAAAATTGCCAGTTTTTGACACTGACTTTTTATTTTTAGATGGGCACTCTGGTTTTTTAAAAATGATAAAAGCAAAACTTGGCAAGCAAACCTTCGGCTGATCTCTGAGTTTGATACTGTTGAAGACTTTTGGGCGTAAGTAACCCACTCATTTTAGGATGTTTGTTGTTATGTTAGTATGTGAATGTTTATTTTAAGTCACATTTACAAAATGAAGATTAAAGTGAAAAGTTATAGATACTCATCTGTAGAGCCACCCTTTTGTTTATCTATCTCCTCACAACTATTTAAATTGGTGATTATTCCTCATCAGTTTAGGAAAGCTTCAGTCTTGTTATCTTTTAGCCCTTCATGTTCTGTATTCCTTGTCCTGAGAGATCCTTCACTTTATTGCCCCTAGAACTTTTGACAGCTTATTGGAACTTGTCCCCTCTCTTGGTTGCCTGAATACATTTGCCCCATACTTGGGTATTCCAGAGCTTTGTTAGATCTTTATTTCTGCAAATTATTTTCAGTGTAACATCTGTGATTTCTTGATATAAGAATTCTGAGGCCCTGGCTGGGTGGCTCAGTTGGTTAGAACATTAATACTCCAAGGTTGTGGGTTCAATTCCCAGTTAGGGCACATATGAGAAGCAACCAATGAATGCATACATAAGTAGAACGGCAAATCATTCAATTATTCTTTTTCTCTCTCTCCCCCCTCTTCTCTCTCTCAGAATCAATCAAATTAAAAAAAGAATTCTGAGATTTTAAAGGCTAAAGTGCTCAATTCAATATTCAGGGTTTGTCAATGAAAGTATCTTTGAAGATTTTTTTTTTTATTAAGAGCTGTAAATTACCTAGCAATTATCTAAAATATTCTAACTTATGCATCTAGTATAATTTTGGATTATATATGTGTGTGTGTGTGTGTAAATATATATGTACACAAACACATATAAATGTTTTTTTTTGCATAATGGATGCAACTGTTGTTTTTTAATGTAATCTCTCCTGAATGTATTCTCCCCACAGAAAAGAATAGATTATGGTCAGCAAATTCATCATGTGTACTTCCTCCAGGCCAGGAACAATATTTTTCTGTATATTTTTAGTGCTTTGCTCATCATAGGCATTTGGTATGCATTTGAATCACTGAAAACAAAACAAAACATTTGAATAATTAGAGAAAATTATTAATTGTGAGCTAGCCACTTTGAGTGCTCACTTTTTATTGAAAACATTGCTTTTTTTTTTTTTTTTTTTAAGTAATAGAATTACATTTAAGCCCCAGTAATTCATGTCTAGTTTAGCTGGTGTCATTCTGTTTTGCCCTTCATGAAAACATCATCTTTTTCTTCTCTAATTGTATTTATTCAAGAGTACTCCAGTCTGTGAAGGAGGAGAGGAGCAAGAGTCTTAAGCAAGCCCTGGCCAGTTTGGCTCTGCAGTTAGAGTGTTGGCCTGCAGACCAAAGGGTCACAGATTCAGTTCCCAGTCCTGTTCCTGGCAAATACCTGGGTTATAGGTTTGATCCCTGGCCCCGGTGGGGGTGGTGCAGGAGGCAGCCAATCCATGTGTCTCTCTCACATAGATGTTTCCCTCTTTCTTCCTCCCTCCTTCCCTCCCTCCTACTCTGTCTAAAAATCAGTGGGAAAATATCCTCGGGTGAGAATTAACAACAACAAAAACGGAGTCTTGAACCATTTTTCCCACTGAATCATATTTGCATTTATCTAGTTTATTAAGCTTTCACCAGTGTACATAATTGTGAACAGATTAGAACATGGCCTCACACTTTAGTTATGTGTAAGCAATGTGATTGCGTAGTAGATTTTTAAAAGAAATCCTACTCACCCGAGGATTTGCTTTTTATTGATGGGGGAGGAGGGTGCATGGCGGGTGGGAGGGTATGAGAGACAGTTGCCTCCTGTATTTGCCTGATGCCCGATCCAAGATCAAACCCACTACCTGGGTAAGTGCCCTGACTGGGAATCAAACCTGCCACCTTCTGGTGCATGGGATGATGCTCCAACCAACTGAGCTTGCCACACCGGCCAGTGTTGCATAGTAGAGTTTTATACCATAATTTAGGTACATGAAGGGATCCTTCAGCTTTCTATAAATATCTAAGTTACCTTTTAAGTTCTCTTTTTCCCCCCAGCAAATTTAGCGGTAAACAACAATGGAGTCCACATGTATCTAATTTGTCTGTTGTGTTAGGATTCTTTTTAAATGTACCATTACAAATTCTCATTATAAACTCATTATTAAGAAACCTTAGCCCTGGCCAGATTGGCTCAGCGGTTGAACGTCGGCCTGCGGACCAGAGAGTCTTGGGTTCGGTTCCCGCTAGGGGCATGTACCAGCAAAAAAAAAAAAAGAGAGAGAGAGAGACCTTAGAGCACCTTGAAGGAGAAGGAAGACCTTTTCTACTTTGGATGCCATTAGAAGGTCACTTCTACACTGTCCATTACTTTTTTTTTGTTTTATCCTCACCAAAAGACATTTTCCATTTTTTGTGGGAGGGAGAGAGAGAGAGAAAAATTGATCTGAAAGGGACACATTGAGTGACTGCCACCCACACAACCCAACCAGGGCTGGGGACAAACTGCAACCGAGGTACATGCCCTTAGCGGGAACCGAACCCGGGTCTCTCTGGATTGCAGGCTGACGCTCTAACCGCTGAGCCAAACTGGCCAGGGCCACACTGTCCATTAATTTTCTAAAAATGGTGGTGGCTAATATTATAGTAAACTATTAGTATCCAGTCCTCTTTTGTTGTCTAGTGGAAGCTGTCAGTGATAATGTACATCAAAATATATTCTCTCTTTTTTTTAATCCTCACCTGAGGACATTTTTTCATTTTTTGTTCAGATAGAGCAGGAGGAAGAGAGAGAGAGAGAGAGAAACATCAACGTGAAAGGGACACATCGAGTGGCTGCCACCCACACGACCCAACCAGGGCCAGGGACAAACTGTAACTGAAGTACGTGCCCTCAGCGGGAACCGAACCCTGGTGTCTCTGGACCGCAGGCCGACGCTCCAACCGCTGAGCCAAACCGGCCGGGGCCAAAATATATTGTTGTCAGAATAAAATTATTAAAAATATTTTCTTGAATCATTAGACGTTGCCCTGGCCAGTTTGGCTCAGCAGTTGGAGCATCGGCCTGTGGACCAGAGAGTCCCGGGTTCAGTTCCCGCTAGGCCCTAGTGGCTAGGGGCACGTACCAAAAAAAAAAAAAAAAAATCATTAGACGTTGATTCTTGAACTGACCATTATTAAGATCTGTTTATTTCATTTCAGAAATTGAATCCATAGAAAAACAAGTGAACACAATAAACTTTTATCCTTTTATTTTTATTTTATTTTCAAAATGTTACATAAGCATCTAAACTCTGCATGACTATTCTGTATTAATAATTGTCCTTTTCTTTTACCTAGTCTGTACAACCATATCCAGTTGTCTAGTAATTTAATGCCTGGCTGTGACTACTCACTCTTCAAGGTATGGTTCATTGGTGATTTCATATATATATATATATTATAAGACAGGACCAGTCAGGTATTCATTAAAAAATCTTGCCACAAACTTAGGAATTAGAAATGCTCTGATGCTTGGAGAAAAATGTAATGGCTTTAGTAGGCTTAACATAAATTATGTTTTAATATAAAAATTGAAATTAAGTGAAAGTTTTACTCTGTGGGCACATACTGTGATTGATTTAGAAGAGAGCTTTGATCATCCAATTTAGTCTCTGTATTTGAGTAGACCGAAGTCCAGAGTTTGTCAGGAATTCGCTCCCCCCACGCAGTTATAGTTTACATTCAATATTATTGTGTATTAATTTCAGGTGTACAGAAGTCATGTGTGTTCTTCCCCCATCCCCTCCCAGCCTTTCAAGTATCCACCTAGCACTATATATAATTATTACAGTATTATTGACTATATTTCCTAAGGTGTATATTATATTCCCATGTGTCAGGATTTCTTAACATGGGATATGTGGGTCCTGAGATACTTTAAATGGGTTTTGTCAGGTGGTAGGGGGTGGGGCATTCATTAATTCTCTGAAATTACATAAGTGGTACATGAATTTTGCATATATTTTTTAGATATAGAAGTGTGTCTAACTTTGAGAAGCAACGTTACTCAGAATGTTTAAGAACCTCCAAATTAAAGGAAAACCAAGATTTGATAGCTAAAAAGTCCCTAACTCAGGACTCTTAATTCTGCAATCCCATGCCTTTGGCTTTAAGTCCTGTATGTGTTTTTTTTTTTAATATATCCTTACCTGAGGACATTTTTTGATGTTTTGTTCAGATAGAGTGGGAGGGAGAGAGAGAGATAGAAACATCGACGTGAAAGGGACACATCGAGTGGTTGCCACCCACACGACCCAATCAGGTTTGGGGACAAACTGCAACCAAGGTACATGCCCCTAGCAGGAACCGAACTTGGGTCTCTCCAGACCGCAGGCCAACGCTCTGACCGCTGAGCCAGGGCAGTCCTGTATGCTTTATTTCACTACATCAGTAACAGTTTTATGGGGAATGAAGTGAAAAGTTGACTAAGTATTGCTTGCTGTTTTCTAGTGATGATCTCTTAAAGTAATAATATTGTCTAACATTGTAGGATGGTATTAAACCTATGTGGGAAGATGAGAAAAACAAACGAGGAGGAAGATGGCTAATTACATTAAACAAACAGCAGAGACGAAGTGACCTCGATCGCTTTTGGCTAGAGACAGTAAGGTTTTAAAATTATAAAACAATTTTAGAATACTAAAACTAATTTATATTACATTTTACCTTAGTTACTTAATAAAAGGAAATAATGCCAACTCTAGAAAATCTAAGCCAGCAATTAATTTTGTTCTATCATGTGAGTTTTATATATTTTACATACGATACAGTGAAACCCTCTACCACATTACAAATCAGATACAAAGTGATTGGCGATTGACCCTGACCTTCCTCAACAAGCTCATTCTGATCATTACATTACCTTCAAAATAACAGAACCTCACATTTTGTATAATGTAAATTTTTACAACCCTCTTAGAGTATTGTTTTGTATTCTAAACTTTGTAGATCATTGAGGCAAACAATAAGATTGTAACTTGATCATTCAGCTTGCTTGTTGTGATATAACCTGGAAATAATAGGCATTTTCCACAGTGAGAGACTAAACCCTAAACTTTTAGGAGCAGGAATTATGGTCTCTTGAATCTCTAGCACTTGGCACAGCGTCTGGTTTATAGTTAGCACTTAGTAAAGCAATTAATACATATTCAAGCGACTAATTTTTTTTTTTTTAAGAAGAGATTTAATTTCGCTTTTGGGAGAGATTATCACTCAATGTCATTTTAGAATTCTACATTAAAAAAGTCATTTCAGTTTTGCAAGATGACAAAGGTACTAGAAATAGATAATGGCAATGGTTGCACAATGTTGTGAATATACTTAATGCCACTGAACTGTACACTGAAAAATGGTTAATATAGTAAATTTTATGTGATGTATATTTTATTGCAATTAAACATGAGAAACAGCAAGAAGCAGTGGCAATTACTAAGCAGTAGCATAGCAAATGAATATTAATAAAATAACTTTTATACAGGTCCTGACATCATTTGCCCCAATTTGCTGAGAAAGTTAAAATAACTATTACAATGTTATTGATATTAACCCAAGAAATAAAAGCAAATGAAAAATTTGAAAGGACAAAAAACTGCATACATAAATATAATGTAGACATTCAGAAAGTCAACTTGATTTAAAACCTGGTTTTTCATTTTGTATATATATACTACTATATGAGTCATTTGCAGTTGAGTAAGTTCTCTGTAACCTAATGGATGTAATTGGGATTGGGTTTTGTTTTTAAGCTGCTGTGCCTTATTGGAGAATCTTTTGATGACTACAGCGATGATGTATGTGGAGCTGTTGTTAATGTTAGAGCTAAAGGTGATAAGATAGCAATATGGACTACTGAATGTGAAAACAGAGACGCTGTTACACATATAGGGTAAGTTTTGCTCTCTATGTATGTTTCTTTTAAAATATTAAGATAACCAAAAGCAGAGTACTTTTTTTTGTTTGTTTTTTGTTTTGTTTTGACTTATCTTTATTATTGAGTGTATTACAGATGTTCCCCCCTTTTTTTCCTTATTAACCCCCATCCTCCCCAAACCCACCCCACTTCTGCCTTCTCCACCCTATTGTCAATGTCCATTGGTTATGCATATATGCATAGAAGTTCTTTAGTTTATCTCATCCCGCCCTCCCTCCCCCCTTCCCTTTGAGGTTCATCAGTCTAACAACAAATTTGTACTTAATTCCTTCATCTTTTTCACCCATCTCCCCAATCCCCGCCCATCTGGCAAGCAACAAAAAGTTCTCTGTATGTGAGAGTCTGTTTCTGTTCTGCTTGCTCATTTTGCTTGTAGATTCAATTGTTGATAGATATGTATTAATTGCCATTTTATTGTTCGTATTTTTGTTCTTCAAGAAGACCCTTCTACATTTCATGTAATACTGATTTGGTGGTGATGAACTCCTTTAGCTTTTTCTTGACTGGGAAACTCTTGATATGTCCATCGATTCTAAATGATAGCTTTGCAGGATAGAGTAATCTTGGTTGTAGGTCATTGCTTTTCATCACCTTGAATATCTCTTGCCACGCCTTTCTGGCCTGCAAAGTGTCTTTTGAGAAATTGGCTGACAGTCTTACAGGAGCTCTTTTGTAGGTAACAATTTGCTTTTCTCTTGCTGCTTTTAAGATTCTCTCTTTCTCTTTAACCTTTGGCATTTTGATGATGATGTGCCTTGGTGTGGACCTCTTTGGGTTCATCTTATTTGGGACTCTCTGTGCTTCTTGGACTTGTATGTCTGTTTTCTTCACCAAGTTAGGGAAGATTTCTGTCATTATTGTTTCAAATAGGTCTGCAGTTTCTTGTTCTCTCTATTCTCCTTCTGGCACTCATATGATGCGAATATTGGCACGCTTGAAGAGGTCCCAAAGGCTCCTTACACTGTCCTCGCTTTTTTGGATTCCTTTTCTTTTTGCAATTCTGATTGGGTGTTTTTTGCTTTCTTATATTCCCAATCAGTGGTTTGCTTCTTGGCTTTATCTACTGTACTATTGATTCCCTGTAAATTATTCTGTATTTCAGTTAGTGCATCCTTTGTTTCTGACTGGTCCTTTTTTATGTTGTTGATGTTCTCACTAAGTTCCTTGAAGGTCTCACTAAGTCCCTTGAATGTCTTGCCAAGTTCCTTGAGCAACCTTATAACCTGTTTCCTGAACTCTGCATCTGATAAATTGCTTATCTCCATTTTGTAAATCAGAATTTGTATATACTTGTTCTCATCTATCTGGGAAGCTAAAGCAGGTAGCAGGGATCTAGTTCACTGGTAAACAGACTCATTCACACACTCCAGGACACTTCGGCCAAGCAGACTTAATCCTCTAAATGGACAAGGAAAACCTTCCCCGGGGTACTCCAGAGTACTTTTTTATTTGTAGCTTTAGAAATACTTGGATTTATAGATCAATTTCCTTGTATTGTTCTTATGAATACTTTTATCTACACTGGCATGTAGCATTTTAATTTATCAAATGAGAGAGGGAGGGAGAAAAAAATAGAGAAACATCGATATGAGAGAGACACACTGACTGGTTGCCACCATACAACCCCAACCGGGGCCAGGGACAAACTGCAACCGAGATATGTGCCCTTAGCAGGAATTGAACCCGGAATTCTCTAAACGCTGAGTCAAACTGTCTAGGGCTAACCTTTTTTTTGGTAAATGTTATTCTTTGCAAAAATTGCCTGTCTTTTTTTCCCTCCCTCCAAATATCAGTCAAGGTTAATTAGGATTTTCTTCTTACTACATTTAAATGACTAAGATTGGATTTTAAATTTTGTATTAAAATTAAGTATTGGTCATAGGCCATAAAATGTTTGGTTTGCCCTTTGTGGTTTTTCAAACATGAATTTTAAGAATTCTTTCTGAATTAAAAGGTATGAGCATGTTTCAGGTTTCATTCTATAGGTTTCTTTAAGAGAAAGGAGATGATTGTTGATTTGTCTTCATATTTCTCATTTTTCTGTCAGTATCGAAACTTAATTGTGGGAATTTTCTCTTCCTTTGAAAACAAGTTAAAGAAATTAAGTGAATTTCTTTCCTCAGAAAATTTTGTAGTTGTGTCAATAGTAAAAGTTTTGAAATCTTTATAAAACATTAGACTTCCAAAGACATATTTGTATTTTTATTTATTTATTTATTTTTACCTGTCCAAGATGTATGGCTCAATGCTCTTGCTTTCTGGCATTTTTTTTTTATCCTCACCTGAGGACATTTCTGCATTTATCTTCAGATAGAGTGGGAGGAAGAGAGAAAGAGAAACATCGATATGAGAGAGACACATCGATATGAGAGAGTTGCCACCCACACAACTCAAGCTGGGGCCGGGGACAAACTGTAACCGAAGTACGTGCCATTAGTGGGAACCAAACCCAGGTCTCTCTGGTCCATGGGCTGACCCTCTAACCGCTGAGCCAAACTGGGCAGGGCGCTTTCTGGCATTTTTAATGATTTACTATAATTGAAAGGACTACATTGTGTTATAATGGAAATCTGATAATGGTTGTAATTTTAGTTATCATAAAATTGTTACTATTTTTATTCATTCATGTACTTATTTATTTATTTATTACATGCCCCTAGTGGGAACCGGACCCGGGACTCTCTGGTCCGCCAGGCCTACGCTCCAACCCCTGAACCAAACTGGCCAGGGCTCATAAAATTGTTTTTAGATGCCTTCATCAAGGGAAGGTATTTAAATTTTCTGGAGCGTGGAGTATAAGTAAAACTGTCTTGAAGAAAATAATTCCATGAAAATGAATAGCCCACTCCCTGGCCGGTTTGGCTCAGCGGTTAGAGCGTCGGCCTGTGGTCCAGAGAGACCCGAGTTCGGTTCCCGCTAAGGGCATATACCTCGGTTGCAGTTTGTCCCTGGCCCTGGTTGGTCATGCGGGTGGCAACCACTCGATGTGTCCCTTTCACATCGATGTTTCTCTCTCTCTCTCTCTTCCTCTTTCTCCCTCCCACTCTATCTGAACAAAAAATGGAAAAAAAATGTCCTCGGGTAAGGATAAAAAAAAAAAAAGAAAATGTATAGCGCTTTATTTTTATTTAATTTTGGTGTTTATTTTTGAAAATTTGATATCTTTTTCTAAGAATAAAGATCCAGTTTCCTTGTCAGCCTCATATTCAGTTTCCTTATTAGTTATAGCCACGCAGCCTTATTTTTGTTCCTCAGCCTTCAAGATGTGCTTCATTCTCTTGACATACTTTTGACCTAATGACTTTTAAAGGGGAGATTTATTGGAATTTCACAGATAAGATTAGTTCCTATTATACTGTCTGTATCACAGCTCCTCTACTTATTCTCTTTGGCGCACATTTTAAAAACACATTTTGTTCTTATAATAGTGTCACATCTTCTGGAAAGTTAGGTTGTAGAGTTAGTACTATGTAAGGCAGAAACCATGTATGTTCCAAAATTGTCCAGAAAATGTCATAAGTTGCTTTCAAAGTGTTTAATTTGTGTGTGTACAATCATGTAATAGGTATGGTAAATGTAATTGTGCAGTAACATAGTTTTTTACTAGGGTTTATATGTAAAATATAATTGTAGCATTTTAAACCAGAGAATTGAAATAAACATGTTCATGTAATTGTATTTTTTATTTTAATTATAATGTATTACAACTTTATCATGTATATTTGTGATTATGTGTTTGTAAATAATCAAATACTATAAATACCATGCCCAGGGACTGTCCCTGGTTTGTTTATTATTGATTTATTAATAATTATTATAGAACCTAATTCTAATACTAGTTAACTAAATTAACCAAGATTGTTGTGAAAATGAAGAGTAAATTTTGCTAAAAGGAAAAGAGTATGCTATTACCTTTTTTACTGTCTAGCCTAGGTATTTTTATTTTAGTATAAAGAAAAATAATGCTGAATTTGGTGTGTGTATGAATAAAATTTAAAGGCTACTTTTTTTCTCTTCTTCTTCTAGGAGGGTATACAAGGAAAGGTTAGGACTTCCTCCAAAGATAGTGATTGGTTATCAGTCCCATGCAGACACAGCTACTAAGAGCGGCTCCACCACTAAAAATAGGTTTGTTGTTTAAGAAGACACCTTCTGAATATTCTCATAGGAGACTGCGTCAAGCAATCGAGATTTGGGAGCTGAACCAAAGCCTCTTCAAAAGCAGAGTGGACTGCATTTAAATTTGATTTCCATCTAAATGTTGCAAAGATATAAGAGAAGTCTCATTCGCCTTTGTCTTGTACTTCTGTGTTCATTTTCTTCTCTTTTTCTTTTCTTTTTTTTTTTTCTTTTTTTTTTTTGCTAGAGTGTCCACTTACCCAATCAAAGAATTACAGTACCAGAATCCATAAATGTGCTTTCTGGCCCACTCTGTAATAGCTTAGAAGAATTACAATTACAAACACATTTTACCCATCCACAATGTTAAAAAAAGAACTTGCATTTCTTTACCTTACAGGAAAAGAATTCTGTTTATGTCCCATTGTATGCGGGAGCATATTTTGCTGGTTTGAAAGAGTATGATGCATACAGTTTTCTAGCAATTTTCTTTGTTTCTTTTTACAGCATTGTCTTTGCTGTACTCTTGCTGATGGCTGCTAGATTTTAATTTATTTGTTCCCCTACTTGATGACATTAGTGATTCTGATTTCACTTTTTCATTTGTTTTGCTTTTGTTCTCATGTAATATTGGTGAAGGATCCAGGAATATGACACAAAGGTGGAATAAACATTAATTTTGGGCATTCTTTGGTAATTTTTTGTTTTTTTGTAACTACAAAGCTTTGCTACAAATTTATACATTTCATTCAAATCAGTGATCGATGTTTGTGTGATTTCCTAAACATAATTGTGGGTTATAAAAAATGTAACATCATAATTACATTCCTAATTAGAATTAGTATGTCTGTTTTTGTATCTTTATGCTGTATTTTAACACTTTGTATTACTTAGGTTATTTTGCTTTGGTTAAAAAATGGCTCAAGTAGAAAAGCGGTCCCATTCATATTAAGACAGTGTACAAAACTGTAAATAAAATGTGTACAGTGAATTGTCTTTTAGACAACTAGATTTGTCCTTTTTATTTCTCCATCTCTATAGAAGGAATTTGTACTTCTTATTGCAAGCCAGTCTCTGTTGTGTCTTCTCTTGTAGTATCTTTCACGTGAACAGCATAAGTTTGGAGCACTAGTTTGGTTATTATGTTTATTACAATTTTTAATAAATTGAATAGGTAGCATTATATATATGGAATTAAATCGATGTGGCTGTTTTTGTGTTTTTATAAAGTAAGGCACAGTCACTCAGTCTTAGGTAAATCATGTACTCTTAATACGTTATAACTCTTGAGAATTGTGATCTTGGTGCATCACCATTTGGTTGGTAGGAATAATAGTTGTAAAACTTGGTTGCTGAATTGAGATGTTCTTTTTTAAGTGTCAAAATGGTAGCATAGAGAAGGAGTACAGGTGGTGGGGGCATATGCATTAAGAATTTTGTTAGTGTTGTTGAAATAGAATGGAATAAGACATTGGTAAATTGGTGTAGTGTGGTTTTAATGTAAACTTGAAAACTTAATCTCTTTGTAGGCATCATTTGAAAACATGTTGCTTATAATATATAATTAATAGATTTCAGATTCTGTGAAATTAAATATGGCTATCGTAGACAAAAGTATAAGCTAAACTATAGGTAGAATTAAGATAATCAGTTGAGAAGAAAATTTGTTTTTAATTGAAAATGAAAATACTTGACAGAAATCCTATATAAAATAAACATGAAATTGATAGTATTGCTTTCATTGAAGAATTTTAAAGCAGTTTAAAGGGTATCAGAGTCCTCAATACCATAAACACTCTTGTTCAGTGTTCGAGAAATACTGACTTGTGTTTATGATCTCGATTTACTATACCTAGTACCTGCTGCTTAAGCTTGAGTGATTGGTTAAAGTGATTTATTGTCTGTTAATATGTATAGTTGTGAGCACTTCAAGAGCTTGCTTAAAAGTGGTCGTGATGTGTTCAGTGGGTGGGATTGGAGTTAGTATATTCATTAAATATGAATGCTCTATTTCCTTAATTCTAAGATGCAGTCCATTTTAAGAAGCATCTGCTTTCAGGGGTGGAGGAAGAATAATGCATTAAATGTATACAGTTCTAAAATTTTCAAAACCCTGACTAAGAGTATTTGATTATCCTATCATGGCCAATTTAGAATCACAATTTGTTTCATTTCAAGTGTTTTTTTCCCCAGTGTGGAGGAATGATAAACTATCTGAATCACTTTTGCAAATGCCACATAAACTATTACAAAAATGTGCAACTTTTCATAGCTTCATTAGCATCTTTTCTAAATATAAGATTAGACTGTGCATGATTTTCTAACTTTTTCCTCCCTGTCCAACAGGATACTGTAAATGAATATATTTTCATAATAGAGAATTAAAATATTCTTTAACAGATGAGTAGTAATTTATTGTAGGGATGTGATATATTACATTTAACCAATTGTTAATCCATATTCTCTAGAAGGATTTGAGACATACTACGTGAGAATTAAATAATTCCAACACTCATATAATACTATCTGCCAGGCCCAGGCAGTGGTGTTCCAAGCACTTTACATGCACTTTAACCTAACCTATCTAGTAGTCCTTTCATGTAGCTGCTGTTACTCTCATTTTACAGATGAAAAAGAAGCATAGGATTTAAGTCACTCTACAGCTTGTAAATTGCAACATGTGGTTTGAGTCTGGAAATTTGGTTCCAGAGATCCCGTAAATCACATTATACTCCCAATAATGTAGATTCTATCCTATAGACTATAGTAAATCACACCCGATTATGTCAGTTTATAGGGAGGAGTATAGACATTTAATCATACTTCCTTTGGTAATGAAATTTACAGTGGATCCAGAATCTTTCTGGCTCACTCTGTTAGCAATCAACTAACATCATTTCGGGGGAATTTTGAGAACATGGAGACAGGTATAGGGATTTATAGGTTAACTGAATATTTTCATAAAGTTTTACATGTCTATATCCTATTGTAAGATAAATGGCAAAATCAAAATTTTCAGGTTAAAGGTAGTTGAGATTCTTAAATGCTGAAGTTTGCATTTAAAAAGGATAATTTTAATTTACTAAAACATTTACAGTGTTTAATGTTTCCAAATTAAGCAAGTTAATGACAAATCTTTGCTGCTTTTTAACTCTTAAGTTATGGATTGTCTTCATTATTGCATAAGGGAAGAAAACAACTGAATTTTCTCACAGACCCTCTAGAGCAGTGGTTCTCAACCTTCATAATGCCACGGCCCTTTAATACAGTTCCTCGTGTTGTGGTGACCCCCAACCATAAAATTATTTTTGTTGCTACTTCATAACTGTAATTTTGCTACTGTTATGTCTTAGGTGACCCCTGTGAAAGGGTCGTTCGACCCCCAAAGGGGTTGCGACCCACAGGTTGAGAACCGCTGCTCTAGAGTCTAGACAGATGCAAGGTTTTAGGTTAGATTGACATTAAAAAACAAAACTGTGGGTCAGTGCTATCCAGTGTGTCTGGACTAATACAGAAATTGAAAGTGTCTAGAAATTTATACAACAGTTTGGTGTTGCTGTGATATTTAAGTATGTGATAATTTTTCTAGTAATTTAAAATATATATTTTATAAAAACATGTTTTTGACAGTGCAATTTGAGAAATACTATTAGGTTGGTTTCCTCAGTACTCAAAGCCAGTTCATTTGCCCATTAATTCCTAAAGCAACTGGGTTTATTATCTCTCCACTCATTTCCTCACAACAAATGGACTTGGTGTCAAAATTTCAGTCCTAATCTATAGCATCTTTCAGTAATATTCTGTGGTATTCTGCTTACTATGAATTGCAAAACAGATATTAGGCTGCCTTCCTGGTACCATAAGTAGTTTTAGACTTTAATCTTGTGGCTTGTTCCTTCCATGGCTGGCAGTAAAAATGAAATTGTGGGCACACAGTCACGTGACTGTCGTTTTCAGTCCAGAGGAACCAGTTTTCACATTTTAATTTTGCCCCTTCTACTTTAGAATTTATAATTCCTTATAGTTTTGCACTTCACATGCACTTTAAGTTCCTACTTTTCCTCCAAAAATGTATCGAGTACCTCTACTATGCTCTAGGTGCTGAGCAGAAAACAAAATGGGCTGGCATAAGCTCTAAACTTTTAAAAGTAGACATATATTCAGAATAAGTAAGTCTTTTCATGAAGTTCTTCAAATAGTTTCATTATAGAAATAGAAGTTTTAGGGTTTGTATTACTGCAGATTAGTAGTCGAGGGGTAAATACAAAATGTTTGCTCTGAAGACCCTTCCGATTCTAACATTGAGTCTAAACAGATTGCCACATTATAGGAGGACTCAGCCAAACCCTCCCATGCAAATTACAGCTTTTGTGAGACATTATTTCTACTTTGTATTACTGAACGCCATATGATTTTCCAAGCAAAGTTATGTGGCTTTTTTTAGTTATGTGATTGCACTTTTAAAAAATAATCACCATTTCATTTAACGTACTTTTTTAGCATGATGAAACGTTTTAAATGTGATTGTGCCTGCATTGGTATGGTTTTATATATAGCAGTCTTCTCTCTAGCCATCTTCTCAAAATACTGATTGTGTTTTTTTATTTAATGTTTGATCAAACATAATGTATGCTTATTTTATTTTCACTACAGAAGAGTAGAAGGTGAAAATTTCCTGTCTCCTTCAATCCTACTTTTCTTTTTCAAGGTACCACTCAGATTTCTATAAATTTTTTGTGCATACACCAGATGAATGTGTGTGTGCATGTATTTAACTTTTCTTTGGACACAATTTTGCTAGTGTTGTGTTCTTATTTAATAATTATGAACATTTTTACATGTCATATCATAGTGCACGTAGAACATTATTTTGAATGTCTAGCGATTTCATTATATGAATGTATGCCTTATTGGATGACTGCTTTCTTCCCTCCCTCCCTCCCTCCCTCCCTCCCTCCCTCCCTCCCTCCCTCCCTCCCTCCCTCCCTCCCTCCCTTCCTTCCTTCCTGTCATTTTTGCTTTTATAATCCCCCAATGTAAGTTGTAGTCTTCGTGCACTGTATGTGTTTGTATGTATATAGCAAACTCCGTCTAGCAGTATTAAGTGGCACTTATTCTCTACCCATTCCACACCCAGACCATTTTAATTCACATACATGAATCATCGTCAGTTTTATAGTTGTGTTCTACAGTGATAGTTTTACAATTTTGGTCCTCATGATTTTTTTTATTGGGTTTAATTGCTTTATTTTCTTTTAATGAGCCAACATTGTTATAGATAAGAATAAAATAGTTTGTTTGCTAGATTGTGGTTTTCCCACAGATAAGAATAAGCTAGTAATTAACTTCTACTGTAGGTCTCTAAACATTGAAAAAGCTTGAATCAAATACAATGGTATTGGACCTAGTTTGATTTTAAGCCTTGTCATGAATTTAACTTAACAGTTTTTGAAATGAGGGAATTTCCCAAACACATCTTTATATTGTAACCAGTTTATCTTTGGTTTTAAGACTTATTTTTTTTCTTTTTTTCATTAGAGAGGAAGGGAGAGAGAAATAGAAACATTGATGTGAGAGAGAAACATTGATTGGCTGCCTCCTGCACTCCCTGTAGTGGGGGTCGAGCCTGCAACCTGGGCATGTGCCCTGACTGGGAATCCAATGAGAACCTCTCAGTCTCAGTCCATGGGATGGTGCTCAGTCCACTGGGATTCACACCAGCCCGGCTAAACTATTATTTTCTAGTTTTATTTTTGTCTTCAGCCTTTGGGCTCAGTTTTGGGTGACTGGTCTGTGTGTGATGCCTTCCATTTTGTTTTGGTATAAGTTCTGTAGTGGCGGCATAAGGTTAGTTCCAGCTTGACCCTGCTTTGACTTATCTCGTTATGTCAGAGTGTAAACGTATTACATACACATGTGGGGCTTTAAATATTGCAGTGTCCTACACTTCTCCCAGGATAAGGGATTTGTAATTGAGCCAGAATGATATTTGAGGGAATCAAAAGTTCTTATTTCACATACTTTTTCTCTTTTCAGAAAAGAACTAATTATTTACCTCCTTGTGCATTTTTTAAAGTGCTGCTGTCTATAAGTCTCTTGTCTTTAAATGATCTTTCATCTCTACTATTTTTTTTAATTAATTTTTGTTACAGATGTTTCTCCTTTTTTACCCACTGATTCCCCCCTCCCCCTCCCTCCCTGCCCTGTCCCCAGCTTTGTTGTCCATGTCCACTGTTCATGCATACATGCATATAAGTTCTGTGGTTTACCTCTCCCCCCCCACCCCCTCTTCTGGGGATTGTCAGTCTGTACCCCACTTCCACGTCTCTGGGACTACCCCATTCCTCAGACTGTTATGTTCATTATATTCCACAAATAAGTGCATCTCTACTATTCTTATGTTATCTATCTTGTCACTTTATTTGTGACAGTGACTTCCAAATCTCTGTCTTTAGCCATGACTTCCTCTTGTGCTTCATATCCATGTTTCTCCCTCCCAATTGGACTTCTATGTCAGGGGTTAGCAAACTAGCTCCCATAGGCTGTACTTGGCCTGCATTCTGTTTTTTAAATAAAGTTTAGTTAAAATATGGCCTCACCCATTTGTTTACATATGTGTCTGGCTGTTTTTGTGCTGCAATGGCAGAGTTGGGTAATTGTTACAGAGGCTGGCCTGCAAACCCAA